TTGTACTTTATAGATTATAGAGAAAAATGGTGATATATTTTTGAATTAGTTTCAGAAATTCTTGCGAGAAATTGTACAGAAAATGAAGAATATAAGACATGTTGGACCGGTTGTAAGGAATATTGTGGAAATAAACCTATCACATGTTCGACGGAGTGAGATGAAGGTTGTCACTGCAAATATGGTTACATTAGAAAGAACAACGAAACTAATGAATGCATACTAAGAAGTCAATGTCCTACACCAAAATGTCCACCCAATAAAGTATATAAATCATGTGGATCTAGTTGCCCTCCATATTGCGGTGAACCCAAATTCAAGATATGCCTAGCTGTGTGCGTACCAGAGTGTCAATGCAAAAATAATTACATTTTAAAGGATGGAACTCCACCCAGTGTATATTGAGATCCGAATGTCCTTATAATGAAGCATGTTCACCTCACCAAACATTTACCACATGTGGATCCGCTTGTCCCACGTATTGTGGACAACCCAAAGATATTATTTGTACCAAGCAATGCGTTGTAGGGTGTCAATGTGAACCAGGTTACGTAAAAAATCAAAGGATTGTGATGATTGTTGTATTCCAAGAAGTGAATGTCGTTAACATAAATAATTAATGTTAATGTTTGTAAGGTTGATGGGAAATAAATATACATAACAGTTAAGATTTCATTTTATTGTCCTTTTATGTAGTTGCTAAGATAGACAGATAAAACCTTCGATAAACAAATTGAAAGGTTTGCCGAAAATTTTTGTGAACCTAAATGGTTCAAAGGTGATAGGATAACTTTGTGATGTTTAAGAAGCTTAATAAAGAATATCGAGGAATATTTGAGGAACATCTGGGACGACATTGATTTAAGAAGGGCAGGAAAGAGTTGAGAGATATCAAATATTCAAGGATGCCGTTGACCAATGTTGAGGAAGGATTTTGCTTACTCAATAATGGAAATATCAGACCCGCTGTTAAGAAATATCAGGGATAATATTAAAAAATATCTACACTGATATTAATAAATGGTGGAGAAAATGTTGAGGAAGTCCAAAACATTGTTAAAAAGTATGAGGAAATATCGTAGTTAATGTTGAGGAATTTCAAAGATCATATTGGAAGATATTGAAGGTTTCTTTACCATGAATTTTACGAAATATCGAGAACGATAATAATATATGATAAGATATAATAAGAAATATCATCGACAATGTTGAAGAATAAAATAGGCAATGAGCAAGATAATGAAAAATTATCAGGAATAATGTTGTGAGATATCAAGGAACAATTAGAGATTGCAAGAATGGTATTAATAGATACTGATAAAGGTATTAAAGAAGCTTGGACAATGTTCGGGATTATGTTGAAGGATATCAGGAATAAAATTGGGGAATACCATAAGTATTGAGGAAATTCACGGATGATAATAGAAGATGTCAAGAACCATGGTAAAATATCTCTCAGCGAGAACATTGACGATGATATCTTGCATGATTCTGGACGATACAGAGAAAGATGTTGATATCGATGAAGAAAATCTTCCTTGGCATCAGGATTTTGTTGATATATATCAGAGCTACTATTAAGAGATGTCGTAATTAATGTTGAGGAGGGTTGGAAATGATATTAATAGGTATCAGGGACTATATCAGAAGATATAAGGGGTAATTTTAATAGACAATGGGGAAGATGTTGAAGGAAGCCAGAATAATGTTGAAAGATGTTAGGGAATACGTTTAGAGTGTCAAAATAAAAAAGGCAGGATGCCGTAGACAATGTTAAGAATGGCAATAAACCAGAAATCGGAATCAGAATAAAATTATTTACGTAAATGTTTAAGATATAGACATGATTTTAAATATTTTAAAACATTTTGCTGTAAATATCGAAGTGGGAAAACCCAGAAGGAAATGTAATCAAAGAATATGACAAAAATGTGTTGTGAAATAGAATTATTTGAAATGTTTGAAATTGATGAAACAAATTGATTGTTAGTATAAAAGCAGCTTTACACACAACATTTACATCCAGTTAATCTTTTTAAAATATCTAAACTTATTGTAGTTTTTGCTGCTTTCTTTATTTCTGGTAAACAACTTTATTATACATTGTAGATTTTAAAGAAAAATTGTGATATATTTTTGAATTAGTTTCAGAAATTCTTGCGAGAAATTGTACAGAAAATGAATATAATACATGTGGAAACGGTTGTACGGAATATTGTGGACACATCTTCGACACATGTACGTCGAAGTGCGTTGAAGGTTGTCAATGCAAGGCTGGTTACGTTAGAAAGAATAGAGGTTCTAATGAATGTATATTAGAAAGTCAATGTCCTACACCAAAATGTCCACCTAATCAAATATATAACACATGTGGATCTGCTTGTCCTGATTATTGTGGACAACCCAACGATATTATTTGTACTGATCAATGCATTGTAGGGTGTCAATGTGAGTCAGGTTACGTAAAGAAATCCATGGATTGTGATGATTGTTGTATTCCAAAAGGTCAATGTCCTTAACATAAATAATTGAAGTTAATGTTTTTAAGGTTGATGGGAAATAAATATACATATAATAGTAAGATTTAATTTTATTGTCCTTTTACAACATTTCAGTTGCTACAAATGTTACAACAAACATTGCCACATTTTAAAGATATAATGATGAATAAATAAACAAATTAAAAAGTTGCCAAAAATTGTTATGAGAAATGAATGAACCTAAGTGCTTCATAGATGATAAGATAACTTTATGATGTTTAAAAAGTTTCAGTAAAGATCAGAAAATATTTGAGGGACATCAGGGACGACGTTGATTTGTAATTGAAAAATATCAAACATTATATTCAAAGATGGTGTTGACCAATGTTGAGGAAGGTCACGCGATAATGGCAGTATCAGGGATAATATTTAGAAATATCTCGACTGATATTAATAAATAATAGATAAAATATTGCAGAAGCACAAAACGTTGTTAAAAAGGCGTTGTTGAGAAATATCAGAGTCGCTGTTGCTTGAGAAAATCTTGCTTGAGGTCGGAACTGTGTTGAAATATGTCAGAACCAATGTTAATAGATGCCTTAATACAAGTTGAGGAGGGTCGAGAATGATATTAGAGGATAGCAGAAAGAATGTTGGATGATATCAGGGTTGATGTTTTAAGATATAAAGGAAGATGTTGATATATGAGGAAGGTTGGGAAAGATATTAGAAGATATCGCGGACAATGTCAGAAAATATCAGGAGTAGTTTTAATAGGGGACTTGGAAGATGTTGAGAGATGCAGGAAAATGTTGAAATCTTCAATTAATGCTTCGTTCTGACCACAAGATACAGCATTAGATTTGGTTGTACCGACTTCTTCAGCCATACCACTACGTCGCTAAACGTTGCCGTGTTTCGGACACATCCTTGTGTTTCGTTGAGATTGCAGCCAACTCATCAGGATCAACACATACAGACTTCGCTGACAGAAAACAACGCCTGAATAAAACGTCGTCTGCTTAAGACGATGCAGTTGAAAGATGTTTAACATGATATACACAGGAAAGGATCTACAGGAAAGGTTAAGACGATCCCATTCGTCTAGGGTGCTCTATGTATATGATTGAAAGTTTTCTAAGTAAGAGATACACTGCAACAACATGAATTATACGG